GTATCTCATTGTGGTTTTGATTTGCATTTCTCTGATGGCCAGTGATGATGAGCATTTTTTCATGTGTCTGTTGGCTGTATGAATGTCTTCTTTTTTATTTACCTCTTTAAAGAATATTTGAAAAGTTCTAATATGTAAGCATTGGCAACATTTTTCAAAATTACCATTCTACATTCTCCTCCAGAGATGTTGGGCTGGGACATTTCCCCCAACAAAGCCCAAATCCTTGTCTTCACATCCACCGTTCATAGTTCTATGCCTTTTCACGCCCCTGTTACTTTCCAGCTCTTTCTGTCTAATTCTCTCATCTTTCCTTCTACTTCTGCAGACCTTCCCCTCTCTCTCAACCCAGTCCACAAATTTTTTTCATGTTTTTAAAGTTGTCTTTTTTATGTTGGAAACTGAAACTGTCATTAGATATCCATGTGTTTTTTTTTTCTCTTTTTGCTTTTTATTTTTATTGTTTTTATTTTTATAGATTTAGGGGTACAGATGAAGGTTTGGGTATACTGTGTAATGGTGAAGTCTGGGCTTTTAGTGTACCCATCACCTGAATAGTGCACATTGCACCCAATAGGCAGTATGTCATCCATCATCCCTCTTCCACCCTCCCACCTTTTGTAGTCTCCATTGTCTATTATTCCACTCCGTATGTTTAGCTCCTTCTTACAAGGGAGAACATTTGGTGTTTGACTTTCTGTTTCTGAGTCATTTCACTTGTGATAACAGCCTCTGATAAGGACTACTGTGTCCTTAATGTCTATGCTGCAGTTCCATACTCAGGCAGAAACTGCCTCCTTATTTTTCTCTCCCATTGATTTCATCCATGTTGCTGGAAAAAACATGATTTCATTCTTTTTTTGACTGTGTAGTATTACATGAAATATGTATACCACATTTTTAATCCAATCATCTGTTGATGAACATTTAGGTTAATTCCATGACTTTGCTGTTGTGAATTGTGCTGCCATAAGCATATGAGTGCAGGTGTCCTTCTGATATAATGATTTATTTTCCTTTGGGTAGGTACCTGGGAGCGGGATTACTGGATCAGAGGGTAGTTCTATTTTTAGTTAGAAATCTCCTATTGTTTTCTATAGTGGTTTTACTAATTTACATTCCCACCAACAGTGTGTAAGTGTTCCCTTTTCTCCACATTCTCACCAATATCTGTTGATTTTTGGCAGCCCCCCCAATTGTCTTTCACAAAATATAGGGATTGGACAGCCAAGATCTTTTACAAATACAATGAGGACAGAAGGGTGCTAGAGGAAGGTGAGGAACACTCACATATTAATAGAAGTCTTGTCCCCACCCCACAAACGATAAGCAAAGTGGAACAGACCTTCAGCTGTGGGGAAGTTTTTGTTGGTTGTTATTTTTTTTTTTTTTTGAGACAACCTCCACCTCCCAGATTCACGCCATTCTCCTGCCTCAGCCTCCCAAGTAGCTGGGACTACAGGCACCCACCACCACACCCGGCTAATTTTTTGTATTTTTAGTAGAGACGGGGTTTCACTGTGTTAACCAGGATGGTCTTGATCTCCTGACCTCATGATCCACCCGCCTCAGCCTCCTAAAGTGCTGGGATGACAGGCGTGAGCCACCGTGCCTGGGCATTGATTGTTATTTTCTAGAAAACAGGAGCAGATATAATTTTCTAACTCTGGCTTTGCAAATACTATAATTGTTCTAGCAGACTGGTACCTGCTGAAAAATCTCAGATGACTTGTAGTAAGTTGAATTTGATTATCTCTCAGTAACTGTATTGAGAACTTTCTGGAAATTATATCTCTAACTCAAGATCTTTGCTCTAAACTCTTGAGGTCAAAAGTCAGAGCATAAACAGAGATGATGCTAAGGCAAGAACAGTGACTGACAGGGCAGGGGAGGAGGATGGAGGTGCAGTGGGGCTGACCTGCATCGCCCTTCCGTTTGATAAAAAGAATCTATTTCTTCCATAAGATAAACACAACACTGAAGAAAAAACAAATGACCAAATGCAGACATTATTCAGTTCAATAAGACCAGCTCTATTACATGTCAGTAGACAGGACCAATAAAACTATGTAAGAAAATGGACACTAACATTCACCACTATTGCCCCCTACCCCATACATGGGTGGGTTGAGAATGCTTTGCATGTTTTTATCCAGATACATTTTTCTAATTATACTGGAATTAATGTGATATCTCCACTGTTGAAACTTTTTGAGATCCCAAGGCAATGACAGTTTTTAATTCCCTGAGGTAACCTTCTACATTAGAGGACCTCACTTCAAATGATTTTTGATTACTGACTGTGTAATGCAAATGTAACCACTGAGCTCACTTCAAACAGGGAAATGCTCAAAAGCAAGGTATTCTACATTAAAAATTCCTAGGGATCAAAACCATGCCTCATTTATATTTTCCATGACCCCATGGCATAGTGGACTTTATTACATAGAAATATAACTTAAAAACATTATTACATTGAATCTGAATCTGACTTGAACACCAACTGTATGATCACCTCTCCATGCCTCAGTTCCTTCCAATGTAAAATAAAACTGGGGATTTTGAACTCAAATGCTTTCAGATCCAGGCAGGCAAAGTGAACATGTGAAGTAGCTTGAGTACCAGTAGGGAGTCATGAGGACTATGATAATGCCCATTAATCTGCAAATTCATTGAAATTGTGCTGCTTCCCTTAAAAAAAAAGTTTTCTGATTATGTTTGGCTTGCAAAACACGTGTTTGAAATGCTTTATAAAGTTGTTGCTTCCCCCATCCCTTACATTGTTCTTGAGTCAGCCATTGCTCTGGTACACGTTCTTTCTAAGGATAGTCAAAAACAATATTGGGGGAGAGACAGCTAGGTGGGTGATAACCTCCAACCAGAGCTTCCCAAGGAAATATCACTGTGTCCTTAATGCCTATGCTGCAGTTCCATACTCAGGCAGAGATTGCCTCCTTGTATTTCTCTCCCATTGATTAACTAACTGATCCCCTGTAGTAACTGTTGCTAAGTTTCAACTTAGAATAAGCCACAAAAAGCAGAACACACCAAAACAGACATCTGGGAATGAACATTAAAGGTGTTCGGAGTTTTCCAATTTATTAGTTCCAGAAAGTAAGACTCTAGTGAGCAGAGGGAGTCAGGATCATTAAAAATGCTGCCATGGACCGACAGAAACACCAGGACGATCCCAGAGTCCTGCAGAGAGGGTGGAGACAGCAGTTGCTGGCTAGTCTAGGCAGAGAAGGCAAAGCCTACCCTATTGTTGGCCATGTCATAGACAGAGTAATATTCCTTGAGGAAGACATCCCCTAGAATCCAGAGGGGCTGCCCACTGCGGGAGGGGCAGTTAGGTGGCCTCAATTCCGAGCCTGCAGTAGCCATTGTTCTGAAGAGACAAAGGACATAAAGATACAACCAACTGTACTGTAGAGCCCTTTCCCCACAGGGACTCCCCACCTTATATTACATGACACCTGTAGGGGGCCCTGAATTCCTGTTCAGCCTCAGCCTGATCCCTGGTGCTCCGCTCACATCATAGGTGCCCAGATGTGAGCTGGGACATGGAACACCTGTTTGGGCCACCGAATCCCAGTGCCCAGGAAGCCAGGAGCGAATACGTACATTGAAGACATAGGCAGAGGGAGGCAGAGGAAACTGGGCCCCGCCGATGATGAAGGTGATGGTGGGCATGCTCTGTATGTAGCTGCAGTGGACCACAAACTGAGAGGGGGAAGAGGCAAAGCTGAGGCGCTCCAGGGGACTAGGAGCCCAGGTAAAAGGTCCAAGGCCCACTTTGTTCCCGTGACTTCCCTGTAAGACTTTCCCCTCGACCTTCCAGTAAAGGCTGTTTCAGAGCATGGAAGGCCTGGCCTTCCCCGGAATAACTGACCAGGCCCGCTTGCTGTGTTCGGTCCTCTCCTTAAACACATCTCAGCTTTTGGATTTTGGTTGTATTGATATGGTCATAAAGAATGAGGCTTATTCTAGAACAGAGTCTCTAGCCTCAGAAAGTGAAAATTACAGAGAAAAGGCATGGGCACACACTTGTGGAAGCCTACTCTCCCACACACTCATATCCACATTTGTGTGCACACGTCTGTGTACTCACCATAGCATATGCACACATGTATGCATGCACGTGCACAGATGTGCACACACACACACAACTTGAGAAACCAAAGTTTACTCTGGGAATAGATTCTTGCATGTGGGGAGAAGCAAACAACAGATATGAGTACAAAGCAGGCAGGTGTGGGGAGAGAAGGCTACTCAGAGTGAAATCCAAAGATGTATTCCTACGGGAGAAAGAAATCAAAAGGAATGGAGAAATGTGTTGACTCTAATATTTCAGAGCAGTCAAATGATAGTGGCTAGAAAGCTGAAATTTGCCCCCAGGACCTACAGTGAATTCATAGCACCTCCTGACAACCATTCACCCCATACTCAATCAGTCTGAGGAGAGATGGTGTTACTCCCTCCCCTTCCCCTTCCTTGCATTGAAGATTCATGACAGAAATGCCATGCTGTGTCCCCACCCATCTCTCCTACCAAAGCCTCAGGTCCCATTCTACCCTTCATCCTCTCTATTGTGAACTCCTTGCACTCAGGCGCCTGTGTTGAGTCTGCCTGGGTGTGCAGAAAAGCCCTTGGCTTCTGACTACTCACATCACCATTCTGAGCCTGCTGGGCTCCTGTTGCCTGCAGGAAGGAGCCCATGTACTGCTGGGGAACTGCCAGCAGGAAGGTCCCGGTAACCACAATGGCCTGGCAACCCTCAGAGCACAAACCAGTGGCCTGGTTACCAACGGCAAATCTGAGGGGGACACCAGGACAAAGAGAATCAAAAGCCTCTACTGAAAACATGAGCCATGTCATCCCTTGTCCCCCAACCCAGCAGCTCTGATGTTCTTCCTCTTCCAGGCAGCCAAGCCACTCCTATTACACATCTGCCCATGAAATGCTTCAGCGCATTTGTGATTATTGGAGTCGCATCCTCACTCTTGATCTGATGCCCACTCCAGCTCTGACTGAAAACTCTAGGAAGACAGAGCCTGTGTCTTATCTTCTTTCATCTACCTATTTGGGGTCCAGCACATAGTGCCAAACACAGTCAGGGCTTGTAATCAATAAATAACTGCATTTTGAGCACCTACTATGTGTAAGACACTCTTTCAGGGTTTATGGTGATACAAGGAGTGGGTAATTTGTGCTTACTGTTTTAAGGAACTTATTCTAATAGAGATGAAACAACACAATTAATCAAGCCATGACTAACACTGTAAGGCAGTAGCTGATAAACCCTGTAATGTGGTACATAGCGTCTTACATGATTCAGTCTCTGACTCCTTGTCTTGCTTTTTTCTACTGCTCTACCCTTCCTCTTCATCCCACATAGATGTGTTGAGATCTGTCTACGAGCCAGGTGTCATGCAAGGCACTTGGAGATACAATGGTAAACAAGACATACACCACAGTCTAGTGGAGAGCCCAGACACTTAACAAAAACACACAAATGATGTCTAATTGCAGCCCTGATAGGTGCACGTTGCAATATGCTAGAGAAAAGAGGACTTGATCTAGTTTGGGAAGCCAGAACAAGGATTTTTCTGAGGAAGTGATAAAGGATGAGTAGAATTGGGCTATATGAAAAGACACCTCTATTCCATGTACAAATAATCTGCCAAGCTCTTACCTCTTTCTACTCTTGTAGGTTGGGCTGTTTCCCCACTGCCTTGCCCAATGACTAGGACATGTTAATTGTGACAGCAGCACAGGTAAGCATTATAGGATCAAAAGAGAGAGAAATCACTGTGCTCTGGGCCCCTGGAAGGATTTTTAGGAGAAGATACAAATTAATCTGGGCTTTGAGGAATGCCTACAATTCAAGTAAGCACTCCAGGTGGCATGATTAAAAGAACAAAAGCAAGAAAATCATGGCCAGGTGCAAAGACTTGTTGAAGTCTGTGCTAAATATCGTGAAGCACTGAGAGGCTGTATTGATAGGTGGAGCCGAGACTTTGTATGGTCTTAAATACAGATCAAAGGAGTTTTGTCTTCAATTGGCATGTGATAGAGAATTCTTGGCTGTAGAAATAACTGATTTGAGCACAAGCTTATCTGATCCCAATGCAGATCAGATAAGCTTGTGCTCAAATTTTGGCCTTATATAATGCGTGACTTTGGACAAGTTACTTAGCCCTCTGAGCCTTGATTTCTTTATAGAATGAAACATATTGCTGATCTCCTTATAGTGCTCTTGTGGAAATTATATGCAATAATGTTTTCAAAGTACTTAGGCCGGGCACGGTGGCTCACACCTATAATCCCAGTACTTTGGGAGGCCAAGATGGGTGGATCACTTGAGGTCAGGAGTTTGAGACCAGCCTGACCAACATGGTGAAAGCCCATCTCTACTAAAATTACAAAAAATTAGCTGGGCATGGTGGTGGGCACCTGTAATCCCAGCTACTCAGGAGGCTGAGGCAAGGGAATCGTTTGGATCAGAGAGGCAGAGGTTGCAGTGAGCCGAGATCATGCCACTGCCCTCCAGCCTGGGTGACAGAGTGACACTCTGTCTCAAATAAATAAATAAAATACTTAGCATAGTACCTGGCATATATAAAACATCAATGACAGCTATTACTTTCACTAATGATAGAAGTGGTAAAGATTATGCTGATGGCAGTCATCAAGCTTCCAAGATAGAAACATAGATTCACAGTGCCTAGGAATGACCAACCTGCCAGCATGCTGAGGCTCAGTACCCAGTTCAAAAAGTCTAGCGCCAGACACCAGTGTCTTCTGAGCTCCAGGACCACCTCAGCCTGGGGCTGGTGATTCTATTTAAGAAACCTGTGTGATGTGGAGGAACAGGAAATGTTGTTAAGCTGGGGGAACACCCTGCGAGTGTCCACAATCCACAGGAGATGCCCTCTCTACTAACTCTTCGATGGCAATCTGCCAGTACAGTTCCCGGGTGACAGGGGCTCAGATAATCTGACCAGAATAAAGTTGGGGGTCCACACCTCCAAGGATGAGCTCTCCACCATACTGGCGGGTTGGTTGGCTAGGGAGAGATGTAGAAGAACGTGAGTGTCCACACACAGTCAGTGAGGCCGTTCTCTCGTCTCTCTCCTTCCCGCACTCCCTCAGACACGGGGGCGCCACAGATGAGGGGATGCTGTCCTCTGAGCTGCTCTCAGACTTGGTCTGCTGAGGCACAGGAGGAGACTTCTCAGAGTAACACCAAACTACTAGACACGATGCCCATAAAGAAGATGGGAATAGAAACCAGGCACCCAAAAACGAACTAGAAAAGCATCCCAGAGAAACCCTCCCTGGGAAGAAGTGAGAACAACAGGAAATGGTTTTGGGGACAACTAGAACGGAGCCTGAGAGAGCCCGCGAGTGCACTCTGAGAGGCATGCTCCCATCATGGTCAGGTCATTAACTAGACAATACTGAAAGGACTTCGGCCTTTTGTGCTCCTTATGCTGGCCAGTCGTAGAAGAAAGACAGGTGAACTTCAGGTACTTTGAGGATCATGTGTTTGGGAAAGAAGGAACAAGGGATAAAGTTTGGCACAAAAGTTCAGTGCCAAGTGGAGCAAGAAAAGTACTGGATTTGTGATCAAGATATTTGAGTTTGAGTCTTGGCTTCACACCTACCATGAGTGACCTTGATCAATTCTAACAATGTGTTTGAGCCTCCATTTGCTCCCTGGCAAGATGGGGCTAATATGAGGATTTTTGAGATGGCATTTGAAGTAACTGCTAGGAGAACACTTTATAAAGCCAGACGTAGTATTATGATTATTCCTCCATTATAGTTCTCTTTACTAGTAATGCTCATGTGGCTTGTTCTTTAGTGCTAACACAGCAGTCTCCAGATTTCCTAAATAAACCCTGAGGGACAGTTACTCCATTTTATGAAAAGTCATCATATAGCTTATAGCTAATATAATTTAAAATTCTTTTTTTTTTTCCGAGATGGAGTCTCACTCTGTCACCCAGGCTGGAGTGCAGTGGTGCGATCTTGGCTCACTGCAAGCTCTACCTCCCAGGTTCACGCCATTCTCCTGCCTCACCCTCCTGAGTAGCAGGGACTATGGGTGCCCGCCACCAAGACCGGCTAATTTTTTTGTATTTTTAGTATAGATGGAATTTCACCGTGTTAGCCAGGATGGTCTCAATCTCCTGACCTCGTGATTTGCCCGCCTCGACCTCCCAAAGTGCTGGAATTACAGGTATGACACACCTCACCTGGCCTAATTGAAAGTTCTTAAAGTGTATTTAAAATAAGATTTTTCCCAAATTTTCTGAAATACGGGAATTTTATATAGCAAGTTATACTCATTGTGTCAGAACACCTTATAACCTGGACCCCATCTGATCTTGGGTTGCCTAGAATCCCCATGGACCCTCAATTTCTGAGCCCTTCACAGGACGAAGGTTCTCACTGGGTGAAGTAGAAGCTGAAGACAGGCTGAGTGATCTGGCCCTGCTGCAGCATCCCCTGCATCACTGTCGGGGAATTCCCCACTGCCATGCTTGAGTAGGCCATTCCCAGGATCCCGTCAAAATCTGAATAGTAGAAGGGGTCACTGAGCTCATTCTCACTCAGGCCAAACTCCTGGTTATTGACGATGATGTTCTGAACCTATGGCAAGCCGACAGTATAGCTTGACAATTCAGGTGCACAAATCACACGGCTTCCCAGACTTATGTGCACAGGGTATAGAATCCAGAAACCCTCCTAGAGAGGGAACATCAGCTTCTTTCATGCAGAACCCAACCACAAGGCTGGGAGTGGAGGGTGAAAGAGCAACCTTTCCAATCGTGTGTCTTGGAAAAAAGAGTGTGGATGTTGGAGAAGTGGAAGAAGTTTTTTCTGGAGTTATAGTTTCCACTTCCATGGACAGTGAAAGAATTGAATGGTTTCATACTGAACAATCTATGTGCAAGAATGATTAGAGGAATTGTAGGTGTTTGAACTAAAGAAATAAGAAAATAGTAAAAAGGCTTGTCTTCAAATATGCAAAGTGCAACTGGGTGGAAGAGGGAGTAGACCTATCTGTGTGTTTCCAGGGGGCAGAGTTAGGACCACACAGCAAAGCTGCAAGAAGACACAACAACTTTAGCACAACATAAAGGCTTCCTGCAGTCAGGACTGCTATGGAAGCAATTTACATCTTGGGACGAAGGCTGAATTAGATAGGCTTTGTGTTCCTTCCAACACTCAGCTTCTGGGAAGCTTGGACCTAATTAGTAAGCATGGATTTCTCTAATAAGGTGTAAGACTCTCGAAAATGGGAGCCAAACCACAGACCCTCAGAGGCTATGAAAACACTCCTTACAGTCACAGTGTCATAGCCCAGGAACACACTCAGGTTGCCACTCCCATAGGACAGTGTATAGGTTTGTCCATTGTTTCTGAAGGTGGAGGACAGGCTGGGGTTGAACCTGTTGTGATTGGCTGTAGAAAGACAGAATGGAATATTAATTTCATTTGCAGTTTTCCAAAACACATGAAGGTTACTTATCCTTGATGGATTGGGCTCATCAGACCAAGGCTGGGATAGGGCATCACCCTAGATCTTTTCTTGTAGACAAACTGTGCTAGTCCTAGAAAAGTCTATGACACACATTGCCCAAATTCCTTCCAGCTGACCATTCTCTGAGGGGAAGATTGCCTCAGACTTGCCAGGAATACTCGGCCACAAGAGGGAGCTGGGAGGAAGGCAAGGAAGCCTTAGTCTGTTTCTGCTCTCTGTCTCCAAAAAAGTCAGCACTTCTGGAAAGTGGTGCTGAAGTGATAGACTGAGAGCAATTTCTAGATGTTCCAAACAGAAGGAGGATACGTGATGGATATGCACAAAGAACTCTGAACTTAGAATGATACGCCTGCACTCAAATCCCAGCTCTGCCCCTCTATCTGCTCCCCTCATGGTGTGGAGGGTGATGGTGGCATACTCACAGCAGGCTTGGCTCTGGCAGTAGATGGAGGGCACCCAGAGATTGGAGGAGCCCGTGTCAAAGAGGACTAGGAAATTTTGGGGTGGTGTCCCAATGCTGATCTCCCCAAAGTAGAAAGACTGCAAAAGAAAGGTTTATCACCTTCATCAAGCAACCAAGCCTTATCTTAAGAATGGACAAGCAGTTAACCCACAGGAAGCCACACTCTGCCCAAATCATTTTCTTGGGGGAATGAGAGGCTTATCCCACAAGTTCTCCTTCCCATCTGGAGGTAGTTCCTTTCAAGATTCTACTTTTGGTCCCTAATTGAAAGCCTTTGGCCAGCCAAGACTTAATATGGCAAGACAATATCCTCTTCCAAACGTGTTTTCTACCTTTACAATAAGCTGATATCTTCACTACACTGGAGTGCCCAGAATTGAGGAAACAATCACTTTTTCTCTTTTCCCAGTGTCCAGACACACACACACACACACACACACACACACACAC